GGGAGGTCTTAGAAGTTGTGGCCTTGCTGGAGGAAGCACATCACTGGCAGTGGGCTTAGAGAGTTCTTAAGCCTTTCCAGACCTCCAACTGTTCTCTTCTTCCTGTGCCTGCATGAAGATGTGAGAGCTTAGCTTCTGCTCCTGCTCCAGCCACTTCCTGTCACCATATCTCTCTGTCATGACAGACTCTAATTCCTCTGGATCAATAAGATCAAATAAATTCTTCCTTCTATAAGTTTCCTTGGTCATGGGGTTTTATCACAGCAACACAAAAGTAATACATCATGCTTGCTTTAACACCATTCACACACATCAGATGACCTGAGGCATCAACTACGGTGGCCACTGTTGGGTGGATGACAAAGGAAAATATGGCAAATGACGATTAAGTGGAGTATTAGTCAACTATACCACAGAGTGGAACACTGTCCTTTGAAGGGATTGGCAGGAACGTCGGGATATCGAGTTAAATGGAAAAAGCTAAATGCAAAAAGACACATGCATTACACAGTCTCTCATATGAGCATATTTTTAGGAATTCGATTGGAGTGTCAAATGTTGACTGTTAGGGGTACAGAAAGAGATGTGCACAAGAGGGAGTTTTGACAATGGGTGTCAGAACACAGTCAAAGGCCGTCTTGTAGCATTCTTCAGGATTGTGGTCAGGGGTCTGTCATTCACGATAACATGTTTTATGTTCTATGAGTGTCTGCGTGAAAAGGACTCAGAGACTGCTCAGATAAAGTAATAATAAAGAGATGTGACTATCAAGGGCTCCAATCTGTGGTAAATAGTACATACATATCTGGAAACACCATACTGCATGTATGTGCATTTACATATATGTGCAATTAAAATAATAATTTTCAAAGAGATAAAAATAGAGAAGAAAAGATGCAGCTTCAGAAGGCTGTGTAGTGGGGTGGAGGAGAAGGTGGGTTTGGGGAAGTGAGAACTGGACAGCAAGGATCACCACTGATTCCAGCTGGGAGAATGGGAGAGGGTAGGAAGACAAGCAGGAGCAGAGGAAGTTGGTAGGCAGGAGGTAGCACCTGCCTTAAAGGTACAAGCACCTAGAATCTCAAGTGCTTGTCACATGTGAAAGGACAGCAAGCTGTGGTCAAAATCATCACAGCTGAGATAAGACATGGGAAATGAATGAGGCACGTTAAATTACTAGCAAGGCAGTAAAAGTCAAAGTTTAAAATGGATGAAGCGAAAGGGAAATGTGTGAACAGCAAGGTCAGGAAATGAGCAGCGAGTACAGGCCACTGCGCCCATGGCAGAGCACGGGGGTATGTTAGTGGCATGCTGCTTTTCTGGGTAAAGCTGTTTGTGTTAGTGATTCCAAACCACATGCAAATGATAGTTATGTTCAACAAGTTTCGCAAGAAGTAGGAAGAGACCATTATAAGTACAGCTGGCTGGATCTCTCACTTTATCATGTGTTGACCCAACCGTTGACTACACCGTGTTGCTGTGAAAGTATCCTGTGGCTCTATGTGGTTCATACACTTAGGTGTTACCATTCCGGTTAAACACTCCTGGTGGAAAGGAAGAGTAAATTTTTACAACACTGCCAGAAGTCACTGTCAGTGGACACCATGGTGTTACTGGTAGAAAGGCTGCCAGGAAAAGCCCTCAGGCAATTCCAGGAACTAAACCACCAGAGCTTTTGGGAAACAAAAAATAATACACTCATTTCACTTCTAAAATCAGCTCATCCCACACTGCTGAGATTCCTTTATGTCTCTCCTGGAGAGGCTGCCCTGCACATTTATCAGAATTCGATCATTGACTTTTTGTTATTATTGAGTTATCTCAATCAATAAGAAGCTTCTTGCCTCTCTAATTATTTCATTTAATAACCTTTGAATTCTTATCAGGCCATGAACTAGAGTGGGTCAAAATATTGGTATAAATTTATTAACCTATATTATAAAAGAACATGTTTATCATGACAACAGTGCCTTGTCATAATTGGTACTTAATAAAACTGGGTCGGACAGCAGAACAATGAAAGACTATGGGACCAGGTTTGATTTTATAAAGTATGCAGCTGCAGTATTGGGAAAGACCCTTCAAGGAGGGATGTGACCACTGATCAGTCCACCATGCTCCAGAGCAGGGTCCATACTCAACACAAATCAGACTGAATAAAAAAAACAAAACAAAACAAAGAAATGAACAGGAAGTTGGGTGGGAACAGAGGAGGGAATCTGGTAGAGGCTGGGGTAATGGGAAATATAATCAAAATACACTATGAAGTTTTTAAATAATTAATCTTTTACAAAAAGCCTGCCGGGGTAATATGACTAAATAAAAAAGGTATAAAAGGGGAACAATTTCTCGAAGGGAGAAATAACTCTAAAAATGCTATATCCCAATCCGGGCCTTCTCCCCTGGAACCTGGGCCTCAGATTCTAACCCTATGAAGTGTTGCACACTTGTGATCATTTACAAATATTTTATTTATTTTTATGTGTATGAGTGTATTGCCTCCATGTATGTAAGTGCACCCGTGTCGTGCAGTGCCCGAGGAGGTCAGAAGAGGCTGTCGGAGCCCCTGAAACTGGAGTTATACACTTGTTAGGCACCATGAGGGTACTGGGAATTGAACCTGGGTCCTCTGCAAGAGCAGTCGGTGCTCTTAACCACTGAGCCATTTCTCCAGCCCCATTTACAAATATTTTTATTGATTCTTTGAGAATTTCAAAGTAATTTTTATTTATTATTTTAATGTTTTTATGTGTATGAGTACATTACCTACATGTATGTAAGTGCACCTGTGTCGTGCAGTGCCCTAGGAGGTCAGAAAAGGGTGTGGATATCAGTCCCACAGTGCACTTTTTTTTCATTTTGTTTTGTTTTTGATCCAGGATCTCCCTGTGTCCCCAGGTGGCCTAGAACTCACTACGTAGATCAGGCCAACATCTATTACACAGAGATCTGCCTGCCTCTGTCTCCAGAGTGCTGGTGCCTGGCCCTCAGCTTTGTGTTTTGTTCATATTCAGAACCACTCCCCTCTCCTCCCCCATTTTACTAGTTCCGTCCCCCAGACTTCATGTTGTCTATTATTAGTTTTCCTTTTTAAATGCCTATAAATTCTAATTTCTCTTCCTCAAATACCCTTTGGTATGGATCCACATCCTGGAGCCCGATCCACTAGGCATGTTATCATTGAGGAAAACTGACTCTCCCTCTCCTGACAGCTATCAGTTGCCAACAGATCCTCAGCAAGGGCTGGAGGTTCTTGCTGCCTTCCCCCATGCACACTGGGCTCTGCATGGCTGGGGCTGTAATATGACTTGTCACAAGCACTGTGGGTTCACCTGTGCGACTGCCTGCTGTGTCCAGACACTTTCCTCACAGTCACCTCCTACCACCGAGCCTGACCGTTGATTTGACCCTCTTCCACAATGATCCCTGAGCCTTGGGTGGAGAGGCTGTGACATAGGTATCAGGACAGTTGGATGTCAATGCTAACGCAGTCCTGGGCTGCAGTAATTGAGTAAATGGCCATCTCAATCTTGCTTGCTAAGGTGTGAGGATTCTGCCATTCTAAAACTCATTAGTATCGCTGAGCTCATAAATGTCAACATTTGATGGGAAAATATCCATTAACTAGATTAAAATAGGAGTATGGTGATGAAATGGTCTATACTAGCCACTGAGTTGGAGGAGCCAGGATTAAAACTCAGCTTGGGTCTAAGTTTTAGCTCATCACACGGTATTTCCAAGTAAGCTTTGTAAATTAAATTCTTTGTTTTATTGTTATATTTTGATATAGTGTCTCCTATGGTCCAACGTGGCCTCACACTGCTATGGGGCAGATGATAACCTTGAGCATCTGACAATCGTGTCTCTACTTCCCATGTGCTGGAAGGACAGGTATGCACAGGCACACCTAGCAAAGTTCTATTTATCTGTTGAGTGTCAGTAGTTATGTCAGTGGGTAGGTATGGAATTAAATCCAGATGGCTGCTTAGCACGGTTTCTGATATTTAATTTAAACTCCAATAAATATTAGCCTGGTTTTTATTTCTCAACCACCAAGATGAATCTTTCTTGGGAACATAAAACCCAATATTTGATATATGTTTCCTTAAAGCTACCAAAAAGTAAAATAACCTCATCAAGATGCTAAATATTACTGGGTCTGGGAAAAGAAGTCAGCTCTCATGGCCTCATAAAGAGCACTAGAAATAGTTTCCTGTCGGGATCACCTGATTCCAAAAGCTAGAGTGTAGGCAGTGTCCTAGAAGATGATATTTGTCCAGCTACCTTGAAACTCTGTCAGTGCAGGAGCAATAAATAAAGGGCCATGGGAGTAACGACAGGCATGCTAGGCACAGGCCCCCTGCAAGTCTAGCCTCTGGGAGGATCCACAGCACCGCTGGGAGATCCAGGCAACCCTGAGTTACTACAGAGAAAATGAGAGATGGAGGAAATGGAGGAATTAGAAGAATTCTGATTTCTAAACTATTAGAACATGGTGACAAAAGTTGGTCCATACATAGAAATGCATACAGCTTGGAAAAGGTCATGAAAGTTGGGTGATTCTTTGATTTAAAAATGACACTTGGGGCTGGAGAGGTGGCTCTGTGGTTAAGAGCACTGATGGCTCCTCCAGAAGACCTGGGTTTGCTTCCTGTATCCACAGGGCAGCTAGCAGCCATCTGTAACTCCAGTTCCAGGGGATCCGATGCCTTCTTCTGACCTCCTCAGGCATTGCATGACATAGGTACACTCACACACATGCACACAATACACTCATACACACAAAATAAAAACAATACATAAAAAGTCCCTTGTTAGCGCAATGGGGTCTTATCATTGTTTCTTACATACTGTATCTTACTTTTTAAAGCAAAGTAGGTCGGCTTGGACACCTAGTCCAACTCTGCTTCCTGTCACGTAACTGCTAAGCCATTTCTTTTAGCCCCACAGCCACACCTCAGCACAGACTTCCCCTCCTGGTGCACGCCTGCTGAACATACCTCTGCAGAAAGGAGCTGGGAAATCCCAGGACGCGCCGTTCCCAGGGCTGACGATGCATGTCAGAATGGCGTGACCTTCCAACATGTAGCCAGAGAGACAGCTATAGCGAATCTTGTCTCCTATGTTGAATCTTGATCCGTGGAGGATGCCTTTCAGTATTTCTCCAGGGTTCCCACATGTGTGACTAGGTAAAACTGTTGGAAGGAAAAAATGTAATTAATTAAAAATGTTCTGCTGAGATCCATTTAAATCACAGATTAAGTATCACTTCTGAACCATTGAAATTAGCAAATCTGTTATAAAAAAAAAACAGACTGTGCCTATATACTAAACAGAATATGTGTTCAGGGTTTAGAACATCTGCACTGACACATTTTTATAATTACATTTTAGAAATGTAAATAAACATATTTGTTATAGGAGAAAAATCCAGTTCTGTTTAGATCATGTCTCCTAAAAGATGTCTAGATTATCTGGGTAATGATGTGATTTCATGTTTTTATACCATGAGGTGTGAAATTAGGAGTCAAAGAGCTGAGAACATGATGTCAGCAGTGGGCAAGGATGCTTGCTTTGTGACATTTACCTTAGACCTCAGAATCAGTACCATTCTTGATATATATGGCTCACTAATCAGTATTCAACTCATTTAACCTCAGACCTCAGCATCATCAGTACCATTACCACACCCAACAAACATTACAATCAGTATTCAATCCATGTTTGCCCTCAGACCTCAGCATCAGTACAACACCTGACACACTATATTACTAAGCTGTATCCGGGGCACGTTTATCCCTAGATCTCAGGATGCATATGATGTCTGACACACATCAATAAAGTATATCAAGTGTATATTTATCCTCAGACTTCAGTAGCAGCACCATGCCTGATACATAGCTCTAATTGGTGTCTAATCCATGCTTCATGGATGAGAGTGACAGTAAGGAATAAAGTAAACATCTTAATCCATCCACTTAAAAATGGTTCTATTCTTATAACCCAGCCCTGGGTCTGTTCATTGCCGCATGCTGCCCACAGCTCACTAATATTTGTCTTGGTAACTGAAGACTCTAACGTACATATAAACTAATGAATCATTGTGTTCATTTGATATGTGTGTAGATAATGTACAGCAATAGTATCTATTCTCTTTACTGTTCAGCTGGGGAATTAGGATGACTTTCCCAGGTCACACGGGGAAGCAGAAACTTGTAGTGACTTTCACAAGTGTTTTTATTTATTATGACATGACGTAACTTATAAAATAGGCCTCACAGAGATCAGAAAACAAATATAAATATAGAGGTAGTTTATACTCCCTTCATGGTAATAAAATCTCTATTCAACATTTACTGCATTGCACTTTTAATAATATATAGAAAAGTATAAAATATGTTTATAAGCTTGAATGAAAGAGTTCAGTGAGGTCTGCTGTCAATATGGTTGACCTTTACAGAAAGAAAAATCTGGTTTGATGCCTCCTTTACTATTACCAAGGCCGACAACGTGCAACTTTAGCCAGTGCGGAACTGTAGATCAAAACCACAATGTGTATCACCATATCCAAATCCAAAGGGCTCGTATGACGAGACAGAAAATAACCAATGTGAGCGCAGACGCAGGGGACTTGGGACTCCCATCCACTGTTGGTGGGATGTCAATGAATGAAGCCACTGTGGGGAGCACAAGGCTCCTCAAAATGCCAAATTCAGAAGATAATCCAGCAGAGCCATTTCTGGGCACAGCCAGAAGTAAGGGACATCGGTGAGTGGCGAAACACCTGCGCTTCCTCCCTGACAACAGAACTATTCACAGCAGCCAAGTCAAGGACCAACTGCCTGTCCACTCTCCAAGGAGCGAGGGAAGACATGTGGGTTGAGGGCTGGCAAGAGGGCACTGCAGGTAAATCCACATCAGTCTGAGGATCCGAGTTCAATCCCTAGATCCCACATGTAGGTAGAACTCCACAAGTTGTCCTCTGACAACCACATGTGTGCTGTGGCATGTACATACACGCCCCCACACACAAAGACACACACAAATAAATAACAATTTTTTTAAAAAATAAAAGAAACTGTGTGTACACGGACCAGATTAGCATTTGGCCATTTAAAGGATGCCGTGTAGCTGTTAGCTATCTCTCAGTACCATTGAGCCATGAGGACAGTAAATACAGTGACCTAAATCAGGCACAGAAACACCAATTCAGTCTGTATATAAAATCCTTATTTGTAGAAGCCTCCATATTTATCTTTAAGATAATTACTGTTTAATTAGTTGATAATAGCTCTTCTTATTAGAATCCACATACTTATTTACCCAGAAAATGTGTACAATTTTTCCCCAAAGACAAGAATTATCAATGGAAATATATCAATTTTTTCAGACCTGCGGAGGGTAATTGAACATGTATTACTGTCCTAAGGGGTAAAAGGGAATGACTGACTGTGGGGATGAATGCAACTTGGTTGGCATCTGCAGATTCTACTACTGAAAATAGCTTTTCAGATGAATTTATAACACTCAGGTGTCATGACTGCGTTTTACAGAAAAGTTGAGAGATCACACTTCTGCAATAAAGTCAGGATGCTGGGACATGTGCACAGGTTTCATGTTCCATGGTCCTCGGGGAATTTTGACACATCTACACAGAAGCAAAGCCAGAAGAAAAGCAATGTTAACAGTGTGCTGTGCAATCCTTGTCTCAGGAGAGCTGAAACGCACTGATGTATACTTTCAAGGGAGACGTATTAATGAATACACACATCTCTTGAAGTGGGCTCTGAAGATAAATGTCTGTAACATCTGTGTCACGAATGGCCGATAGGGACCTACGAAATACTAAACTAGGAAAGAGAAATGATTTCTTGCATTCAATACTGACAGAGAAAAGGCTGTGTAGCAGGTGAGCACAGAGACGCCGCACACACTGTCAGAAGGTATGACTGGATCGCTCTGCCTAGTCCGAGAGAGAAGGGTTCGCTTCAAATCTCCTGTCGCTCTCACATGGGGAAACAGCCTTTCTGAGCAGGTGTACCTCCCCTCCCAAATCAACACCACTGTTTCTAGAGCCTCGCACAGCTTGCTTGCTCTGCAGGGAGATGGAGGTGCCCGATCCCGCTCCACAAACCCTTCAGTACTGCTCTTTCTGTTCTATGGAGGATGCCTTCACCCTAACATCTTAACGATTAATTTCTACAGAATTCAAAAACCACATATCAAGCACAGGCTTGGTGGGGTGAGACACCACTTCAAAGGACATGGGAGAGGACAGTGGCCCTCAGGTCTCCTCTGTAACTCTTCCAGGCTGTTTATTCAGTCAGAACGATTGATTCATTGTTGTTTACTTTCAAGGCAAGGTATGAAGACTGAGCCAGATATATAGTGTGTGACTCTCTCTTCCCACCGACCCTGTTAGGAGAATGAATTTCGCACAGCAGGAGGCCTTTCTGGCAGGTGACAGTTGCTTGATTCCAGGACTGAACTTTCCATCTTTCAGTCTATGCAGTGTCTAGAATAATGGTGGGCCCTAATCAGACTCACTAAGTGCACTTTCCCTCAGATAAGTGATTAATAGAATTAGTGGTGTAAGTGTGCGTCATAACTAAGGTTTACGCATCTCATAGGCTTTGTAAAACCACACAAAAATGTTTGTAAAAAAACTAATTGGATAGGATGTCACATCAGAAATGCTGAATCAATTTGACATGTGCAACTTTGAGACAAATCATCCGTGTTTCATGGAAAACATATCTAGGCATCAGAGCCTTAAAACGAATTCAAGAATTTTAAAGCAAAATAATTTAGTGATTAAAAATCACCTTTAAATTCTTTTATATATTTTTTCATTTTTATTGAATTTTTGCAACTTTCATACACTATATTTTGACCTGCTCTCCTGCGAATACTCCCTTAATGTCCCCTGCCTAATTTCATGTACGCTGTTTTACATATATATATTTACCCAGAAAATGTGTACAATTTTTCCCCAAAGACAAGAATTATCAATGGAAATATATCTCCAAATATTGTCCCACCTACCCAGCTTCATACCCTTAAAGAAAATCAACCCTCTCTCTTCCATCAGCTATCAGTAAATGATAGTTCCTGGGCTAGGTTTGGGATTCTTGCTCACTTCCCCAGGTCTATGCTGGGATTTTGTATGGCTTGAACCTGCCTGTTAATTGGACATGCTGTTACCATTGCTGTCAGTTCCTGGGACTAACTTCCCAGCTGTCTGGAAAACTGTTTCCTTATGGACACACAACACCCCCAGCTCTACAGTCTCTCCACTCTGCCACAGTGCTTCCTGAGCCTTGGAGAGCAGAGTTTGATCCAGGTGTCCTACTGAGCAATGGACACTCAGCTGTCTCTTACTCTCTGCACATTGACCAGCTGGTTGTAGGTCTCTGGTTTAATCACTATCTGCTGTATCTTTAAACTTAAGTGACACTAAGTTATGACTTAGGGTTTAGGGTTTGAGAATAATTACTTTGAACCATTTTTACTTTGCTTTATTATTCAAATTTCAGTATAAGGCACATCAACAACCAAACAGATATACTTGAAGTTCTGTTAGAAGGTTCTTTCCAGTTGCAATGAAAATGCAAACAGTAATATTTTTAAATCATCGGCAATTTCATAAAAGTTACAAGCTTATAGAATGTGAAAAAAATAGATTACTGAGGACTGGCCTGTGCAAATATTTAAAGCTCTGATGCACAAAAATTGCTGACGTAGAGATTTAAAGCTAAGCAAATCCAACCCGTGTGCTTTCTGCTAGTTTGTTTAAACCATTCTTTTAACCAGTTTCCCTGAAGTTGGTAAATGTCCTTCTGTATCTCCCGCAGGAGTGAGTGCACATTAAGTATTTAGTAAACTCTCTGTGAATTGGCTTGAACTCTGTATTTAATTCTCATTAATCCTTCTTTGAGTAATGCAACCCCTTTCCCATAGAGGCTCTGAAAAAGGAATTCTTACTTATTGGATGAGAATTTAGCACAGGGCAGGCATTTGGCAATGTGAAAGGATTTCTTGAAAGGAGCTCTGGGCACAATGCTGAATCCCAGGGCAATGTTCCATCAGACCACAGGAAGCCAAGTTAACACCCAGGGCTGGAAACATGGGCTGTCATTCTGATTATGCTGCAGAAATTCCTTCCGTAACACTCCTGATTTGGCAAGTACATATG